TATGGTTCATGGGGTCACGAAGAGTTGGACATGACTTAACGACTAAACAACAACAACAATATAAGCCTGATTAAATGCCGGTGATAAAATTCCCTTATCAAATATCTCTTCATACGCTTGACAAAATTTTGGCACTAAAAGGTCTGTAAATGTTTTAAACCACTCTATAGGGAATCCATCCAATCCTGGTGTTTTACCACTTGCCATTTTTAAAATTGTTTAATCTCTATCTCAGATAGAAGAGCAAATAAAAATTGTTTTTGTGTGTCATCCAAATGTGGTAGATTAATTTTATTTAGAAAGGCTGTATGTCTTCATTCAATGCATTCTCTGATTTGCTATATAATTCTAAATAAGGCCTTCAAACCAGGAGGACCTTCAAACAGTCACTCACACCCTCTTCACCTCACAATTGCAATGCACTCTACGTAGGGCTACCCCTAAAGACCACCCAGAAGCTACAGCTGGTTCAAAATGCAGCAGCACAAGCAATAACCAGTGCTGCTTCTTATGCCCATGTGTCGTCTTTGCTACACAAGCTGCATTGCTTACCATTTGGCTTCTGGGCACAATTCAGGGTGCTGGTTGTTACCTGTAAAGCCCTTCATGACTTGGAGTTCAGCAGTCTTTAAAAAAATTCAATGAATAAATAAGTCCTTGATGCCATTTACTGCATCTGTTTCAGGTTCTTTGAAACTCTTGAAATACTCGGTGCTCAGAATTAGATACAGTATTTGAGACAAGATCTGGCCAGTGCAGAATAAAGTGGAACTATTGTATTAGTGCCCTGATCTGGAAATTACACATCTACTGATGCAGCCCAAATTGCATTTGGGTTTTTAGCAGCCATGACACATCATTTGATTTCCCAACCAGCTATAGACAAGCCATCCAGCCCAAGGAATTGGTTTACCAAACAGAACATCATGGGTACTTTGCCAAAGTGACATTTGCCCTCATATCAGTTCTCCCCCATTTGCCTGACTGGTTTAGTCAGAGCATGAGCAAATTCCATCTCTATGAAGCCAGGCTATCTCTGTGCACATGTCCCCTTTCCCTCTTCTTTTTTCTTTTCAGAGCTTCTGCTGGCTTCCATTTCTTCCTTGTTAAAATTGTTCACAATTGTGTGTTTAAAATCTTTCTTTAGGAACCCACCCAACTTGGCCTTTGTTTCCCATTAGCTCCTCTTGCTATGCTTATCTGTGTTGCATGTTTGTTAAAATCCACTTTCTTGAAGACCCAAGCGAGGTCTTTGATTGCACTTAGCTGTAGCTTCCCTCAACCTGAACATTCATTTATATTCTAGGTGCGGGTTCTGCAAAAAGAGCTTTTAGCCTCCACCTCTGAAGACACCCATCCTTATAAAGAGGAGCTGGAGACAGCTCTGGAGCAGTGCTTTTACTGCCTGTACAGCTTCCCAAGCAAAAAAAGCAAGGCACGGTACTTGGAAGAACATTCGACACAGCAGGTGAGGTTGTCCAGTGCTCAGAAGCAGATAGGCCTCTCTTTGCCAGAGGTCCTTCCAGCGGTTATGATATGTAAGAGCTTTGTTGCTCTGTGTAGCTTATGTCTTCATTCTAACAGCAGTCAGCCACAGGTTTCTAAGAAACCTACACAAAGGGAGCAGCATTGCCCATCTTTTTTTCCTAAATTGTGTTTTCTGACTAGGTGTTTCAAAATGTAACCAAAAAGGTTTTTCATCACAAATAGTGAAAACAAAGCTAATGATATTTTCAGTAAAATTAGGTTTAGAGCAGCTCTGTCTTTTCAGGACCCTGAAGAGATGCTACGCAGCAGTTCCTCAGAATCCTAGAGTGGAAGAGATCATTTAGGTTATGAAATCCAACCCTGTCAACCTAGCGCACAATGCAGGAATCCGGAGTAATGTGTTCTCGAGATGGTTGTCTAGACTTTGCTCAAACACATGGAACAAGGAGGAGCCCCCTGGGTAATTCTTACTTCATGCATTGGTTTAATTAATAAATGTTTAAAATCTCTTTCATTCTTTCCAAGGTGGAACTGATCTGGGAAGATGCCCTATTCATGTTTGAGTATTTTAAGCCCAAGACCCTTCCTGAATTTGACAGCTATAAAACCAGCACCGTCTCTGCTGACCTAGCCAACCTTCTGAAGAAGATGGCCACTATTGTCCCTCAAACAGACAAGCCTATGCTGAGATTAGAAGAAGTGTCTAGTTATATTGAAGGGACTTTGAACAAGGTACCAATTATCTTGCTTCTGGGGATGATTAATAGGAACCAAAGTGTTAGAAGTCCAATCTGCTTTATTTTCAGACTTCAAAAGTGGGATGGCTGGGGCTATTGAATGAGAAAGAGAGGAAAGCTTTTTGTGCACACAGAAACAACTATCATTTTCTTACTGCTTAAGCAGGTCTACAAAGAATGAGATTTAACTCTGATCAGTCATAGCTACGGGCTATGCCCCCTTTTATCTGGCCATTCCCTAGGCAGCATCTCTTTGCCCTGTCTCTCTCACATACCATTATGTATGCCATGTCCTGCATTCTGACTTTCTTCTGTGGGATATGTTTTAGAGTGTTTGAAGTATGCTAACATATGTCACCTCAGTTGCCTTTCCTCAGACAAAGTATAACCAGCTCATTGAATTTCTTTTAATTTTCTCGTCTCCAGAAAAGAGTTCTGGAGACGAGAACTCTTGTTGTTCTTTGAACATACTTCAATTTCATAAAACTACAGGATATAAGGATTGGAAGGGACCTTGAAAATAATGTAGTCCACCCCCTTGCCTGAGGAAGGAATCCACTGTTACATTATCCCTAGCAGGTGGCCATTCAGCTTCGGTTTAAGGGTCCACCACCTGAGGCAGTCCATTCCATTGCTGAACAGGCCTTACCATTAGGACGTTCTTCCTAATGCCCTGTCCAAATCTGCTTCCTTGAAATTTAGTCCCCTTGTTTATTCATCTGTTTGTTTATTACATTCCACCAATTTCAACAAATTGACTTTGGAGCACCTGAGATCACATTAGTGCCTACCCTGATGGCCTCCCAGAAGCTCACTAAAACAGCTTTTCTGGAGACCATTTCCAGAATGCATGTATTACTGTGGTGGATTATTACTGTAATGTTGTCTTGGCCTTGATATAGTTTACTGCTGCAAACCACTAGCAGCTCATGGAGGTTATTGCAGCATATAAAGACAGAAAGGCATCCTTGCATACTAGTGGCATCGGCCTGCCCTTCAACAACAGCTGCCTGAGTGCCAGTGTGCAGTGCGCCTCACTTTCTATTGCTTTGGCTCTTTCTGAAACTCCAGATATCTTTCATGAACATCTGTTGGCCAGCCTTTGCTAGTCTCCTACCGGAGGTGGCTAACTTGCCATCATGGAGGTTTTCCCAGCTGCCCAGCAGTCCGGACAGCCCTCCCCACCAAGCAAGAGGCTGCCCGGACCCCCGAGCTGAAGACAGGGACCCCTGACATGGTGCTTCTCTTTGTTCCCAGGTCCCAGCCCTCCCCGAGGGCGCAGACTTCTCTCCTCCAGTGGTGACGGAGCTGTACTACCTCCTGGCGGATTACCACTTCAAGAACAAAGAACAGTCCAAGGCAATCAAGTTCTACATGCACGACATCTGTGTCTGCCCTAACAGGTCAGGCCGGCCAGCTGCCCAGAAAGGATCCTCCACTGGGTAGCCTGATGTCCTTTGCTTGCCCTGCCTTCCTTTGCCCCCCTGTCCATGGACAGCTTTGACTCAGAGAAGTCCCGTGGACACCTGGGCCATTAGGGTTCGCTCTGCCCAGTGCGCGAGGTTATCTCACACTGTGAATAGATTCACTGGATTGATACCCTGTTTTTCCTCCAGGAGCTCAGGGCACTGTACATTGCACTCCTTCCTTCTGTTTTTTCGTACAACAGCCCTGTGAGGTAGGCTCTGCTGAGAGAAAGTGACTGGCCCAAAGTCACCCAGGCAGCTCCAAGGCTGAGGGTGAACTTGAGCCAGGGTTTCCCCACTTGCAGTCCAGCGTCTTAAACCCTGTGCCATGTTGGCTCTCCGGAGAGAAAAGGGGAGCTTCCTCCAGAAAGCTGCTGCTGCTGCTGTTCACCCTCACAGGAGCAGCTTCTCTCCTGGGCGAAGCCTCTTCAGTGGAAAGCAGGTGATGCTGATGCTGTGACACGGAGGAAGGACCATCTCTCCCCCTCCATCACGGTCCTAAGATACATGCAAGTGTTTCCTGCTTTATCTGCTTTGCTCCTGGAATGGAAGGAGCATGGACGTGCATGATTTAGAGACCAGCTGAAACAGAGATGGATGTTTGCTCTGTTATTTTTACATCCATTATACTTTTGATACTTGACACACTACATATCTTGGGTTAATTGAATTGCAGCCTTCCAAAATCTACCCCCAAAACCCCATTGCTATATTTTGTCATTGAAATCTTTGATTTCCCTCTGAAAGATTTTCATGGTTCAGAAGATCCTTAGAGCAATCAGGAGCTGCTCAGATAAATGTTAAATTTATTAAAGAAATAGGAAGGAAGTGAGCCAGGGGAGTACATCTATGCAGCGCTCTGGGGTTTGGGACTGATTTCCAGAATTGCAGCCTTGAGAAGTTCTTAGATCTCTCTTCTACCTGAAAATGCTCTCGGAACAGCTTTTAACTTAGAGCTATTGATATGGGATGCCTTAATTTGGATTCTGGACTGAGTGAAGGGTTGGGCCTAAATTGCCCCTTTCAGCTCTTTGATTCTATGTAATATTTTTTTGTTTATACATTTAGTTAGTAGTTCAGTTGGATCTCCTTTCATTTTTAACCTCACAACAGCAACCCTCTCAGGTTGATTGGACACCGAAGCAAAATAGTTTGTACTCACTTTGCTGAGAGAGGGCTTAGAATAGGCATTAGTTTAGATTCTCAAAGGTCTTAGTTCTCCTAGGAAAATAGAGGTTATTGATGGACTGGTATCAGTATCAGATGCCACACTGGCATTCCAGTTTTAAGCACTATCAGATACAACTTCAGGAGGGAGAGGCTTGGGAATGCTAAAAAAGATTTAGACAGCAAACAACTGTTGAAGATGGGTTGCTGGTTTTAATAAAGAACCAATAAGGGTTGGCAAGCCTGCATTAAATTGGGCAGGGTTTGCACTGCTGAAGAGAATTGTTTGGCTCTATCTGAAGAACCATGCTGGAGAGCAGAAGAGGAGTAACAACACCCTGGGACAATTGCAAGCCAGCATGGAGGGCACGGGGAGGGTTCCAGAAGCTCAGGTCTTCTGCTGAAGGAAAGGTAGCAGACAAGAGTTGCTAGCCAGACCGAAGGAAGATAGAATTGCCATTAATCTGCTTGTCCTTCCCATGTCCCTAAAATGTGTAAGGTTAAAAAATAGAGTGGTGCGTGCAGACGTTAAGCTGGTATCATAATCCATACACACATATGCATGCTTAGGATAGCTCTGTGGCCACCTGACGTTCAGGGGAAAAGTAGTTAAAAAGCAAGCAATAGCAGGTTATCTTATCAACAGAAAGAGGGAGATACTGTCTGCTATGGAATGTCAGGCAATTAGCTGACTAACTGTATATTGTACTTACAAGGCTGAGATGACAATGAAGCTGCTTCTGCTAGGTGTTAGCAGAAGCTGGAATAAACCCCTGAAGGCTGTCTCACCTGTCTCTTCAGTCAAGGTCCCTGAGCCTGCAGGTCCACCCTGTGACATCCCCTCGAGTGGAACAGTGCTTAGCAGTGGAAGAGTGGCTTGCCCAGCCTTCTTCCAGGGAGAGTTTTGACTTGCTAGTCAGGGCTTCTTCCCTGGTGTCTCTCCCCAGGCCTGCTCAACAGAATGGGGCTGATCAGAGCAGCAAAAAGAAAGGTCCCGAGATGAAGAGTCAGGCGCTGTGGGAGATCGGAATTGTCTGTCCTCCTGGTGTCTGTGTGCAACATGCAGAGTGGGACCGTGGGCGTGTGTGTGCTGTCTTTCAGGTTTGACTCATGGGCAGGCATGGCACTGGCCCGGGCCAGCCGCATTCAAGACAAGCTGAACTCAAACGAGTTGAAGAGCGATGGCCTCATTTGGAAGCACTCGACTCCAGTGCTGAGTTGCTTCAAACGAGCCCTGGAGATCGATGGCTCCAACCTCTCTCTCTGGATTGAGTATGGGACTATTTCCTACGCCCTGCACTCATTCGCCTCCCGGCAGCTGAAGCAGTGGAAATCAGAACTGCCGTCCGAAGTGGTGCAGCAGGTGGGAACTGGCGCAGCCGAGAGAGGCTTGCCCTCCTAGTCTTGAGCCGCTGCTGAGCCTGCTTCCTCTTTCAGATGGAAGAGCGGCGCAACTGCATGTTGGAGACGGCCAAGCACTGCTTCACGTCAGCTTCTCACTGCGAGGGCGACGGCGATGAAGAAGAATGGCTGATCCACTACATGCTGGGAAAGATTGCTGAGAAGCAGAAGCAGCCGCCTGGAGTTTACCTCTTTCACTACAAACAGGCAGGTCACTTCCTGCACGAAGAGGCAGCCCGGTATCCCAAGAAGATCCACTATCACAACCCACCAGAGCTTGCAATGGAGGCCCTGGAGGTAAAGCAAGACCCTCACCAGCCAGTTGTAATGCAGAGCCCGCAGTCGGTGCACAAGCAGCAGCTGGGACCCCGTGTTGGGCTGCCCACCTTCGCCTAAAGGTGGCATCTAGTAAAGGTGAAGGCTGCAGCTGCTCTCTCTTTGGCCTTCAGTAGGTGATGGCCCCTGCAAGTCGCATCAGCTGGTAGAGGGGACCGGCGGAACCTGAGCCCATCTCTCCCATCGGGCCCAAGACAGATCCAGGCTTGGCGTCTATTCAGGACTGGGCCACCCTTCCAAAAGTGCTAAGGCTTGTGATTTTCAGGATGGGTGCCTTCCTGTGCATCTCCCCAAACTGGTTCCTATGTCCAGGCCCTCTTAGTCCTACTGTGGGTGAGGGGGTGGAAGAGAAGCCCTGTCTTTCCACTAACACTCCTCTAATTTAAAGCTGAGTCCCTTTGGCTGGATTACTATTATTCTGCCTTTTATATATATAACTCAAGGCAGCAAACATACCTGATACTCCTGCCTCCTATTTTCTCCACAACAACAACCCTGTGAGGTGGATTTGGCTGAGACAAGGTGACTGGCCCAAAGTCACCCAGCTGGCTTTCATGCCTAAGGAAATGCTGGAATCCTGTTTGGCAGATGCTGCTCAGCACCAGACACTAGCAGTGCCCCAAAACATAGTGGATTGGGTGGGACATAGCAACTTGGGGAAGAAAGCACAGGTGACTAATGTAATACAGGTAGTCCTCACTTAAAAACCATTCATTCAGTGACCATTCAAAGTTATGGTGGCACTGAACAAATGGTACTTATGCCCAGTGCCCAAAGTTACGGCCATTGCAGTGTCCCCACGGTCACATGATCAGCCATCCCAGTGCCACAGCACAAAGCCCCAGCCACTCCCATTGCCTTGCACTCCACAGGCCCTGCCATGCCCAGCTGACCTTCACCATCTTCCCACTGCTGGCGAGGTGCACCCAACCTGGCCCTATGTGAGGCAGCTACTGGCCACACCAGGCCTTCTTCCCAAGGCCGCTTGCACTGTTCTCCAAATAGTGCGCACAATTTGGAGAACAGCAAGCATGGCCTTCTCACAAAACTTTGGAAGGTCTCAGAAGCTTTCCAAAGATTTTCCAATGCGTTGCAAGAATGGAGAACGGTGCAGCAGAGGCGGCTGGGATGTTGCACTGTGGCGCTGGGGTGGATGGCTGTGGCATGGGGCTTGAGTTGGCACTCCTCGGCAACGCCAGCGGCACTGGGGCTAAAGTAGTGGGGCCAGTGGCTGGCTGGACTGCCAAAGGCCCTGGACCTCTACTTCAGCCCCAGCACCACTGCTGCTGCCAAGGAGTGCCACTGTGCACGGTGGCCAAAAGAGCAAAAATAGGGGGAGATAGGCAGGTGGGGGGAGTTGAAGAGGAGGAACTTACCAAGACTCAGGGCTGGGAGAGGCCAAGCTGGAAATGGCTTGGATTGGGGTGGGTCCTCACTTAATGACTGGTGGGATTCAGTTAGCAACAGGGACTGCTGGGATTGCCATCACTAAGTTATGCAGTCATGTGACGTCACGCTTTACGACCGCATTGCTTAGCGATGGAAATTCTGATCCCAATTACCGTTGTAACTCAAGGACTATCTGTATGCTTAAACTATTTAGGCTTAGAAATATTTGCTGTTACCTATTTTTTGCGCCAAATTCGTAGCTCAACTATCCAGACCATCTTCAAGGGCAATGCAGGTACAATGCGTTGCAGTAGTTCAAATCCAAAGATCTGCCCCACACCCCCAGATTCCAGTTATTAAGGGAGGGTGGGGGACTTCCTTCCTAGCAACACTGGAACAGCAGTCCTGAGCCTGTGATGTCAGCCCCACCAGGTAGACCAGACCAGGAAGTCAACTCCGCGGGAAGTCTAAGATTACTTTTACTGAGAGCGGCTCTAATAATAGAAATTGCAGTTGCATTTCTGACTGTGCTTATTACCCTTCCCCTTTCTTATACTCTGGTAGATTAGGGAGGGGCCTGTCTGGGCCCTATCCAAATGTTTTCTGTCTGTCGTGGACTCGATACGCTTCTCCCCTCTTCACTTTGGTGATGGGATCTGGCATATCTCCATCAAGGTCACCTTCCCTAACCTGTAGGTGTGAGGATCTCCCCACTCTCCTCAGTCACCGAAAAACAGCCCTTCCCCAGCTGAGAAGGGCAGCAGGGCTACCCTGAGTTCCTGAATGAAAGTCAGGAGATAAGAAACCAACAAACAAAAGTGCACCTGAAGTTCAGTTGCTTCCTCAGCCACCCTGCAGACAGCTGCTTCTCACTAGCGGGGTGGCAGATAGATTTAGGTCTGTATTTATTTGTTTTATGGGACTGCCTAACTGCAGTGCTCAAACACAGTAAAAGGAATGAGAACAATCAACCATGCCAAGAACTGCAAGAGACATAAAAGGCCACAGCATTCAGTGGCTCTGGCTGTCCTGAGAGGTCCCAGGACAGGATGGGCACTGCTGAAAAGCCTGCCTCCAAACAGCTTTAGGGTGGCCGTGGCGCTCTCTTGTGCATGGATTTCAGTAAGGTGGTTGGATTTAATTTAAAACCCAACAGAGAAACTTTGCCAGCTGGTGAATTTCTTTCCTGCAGGTCTACTTTCGGCTCCATGCATCGATCCTAAAACTGGTGGGAAAGCCTGACTCTGGAGCAGATGCTGAGCTGCTTGTGACTTTTATGAAGGAAGCTGCAGAGGGGCCTTTTGCCAGGGGAGAGGAAAAGAACACCCCCAAAATCTCTGAAAAGTGAGTGCTGGCATTGTCCCTTCTATCGGTGGTTTCAGCTAGCAGGGAGAGGAATGTACAAAGTTTGCTCAGTGTGCTGAAAGCAAATCCTTCAAAGATATACTATGGCATTTTGATATTCTGACATTTTGGTTTGCCCAGATTATACATTCTATCTGAAGTTTTAGCCCTGAAGGAGAGAGGACAGACAAATGAAAAGCTCTTTTGAAATCTTTCCAGGCCTCTGGAACGATCATCTAGACATAAGAAGAACCATCCTCTGTAACACTAAAAGCGTCTCAGCATTTTGGTTTGCAAAGTGGCCAACTCTAGGTATCTCCAGGAAAACCAGGAGAGGAGCGGGGCCAATAGAGCCTTCCACATCGTCCTTCTCCAAGAATGCAGCTTTGCACAGCTGCGATCCTACAGCCAGGATTCAGACCACACACCTAATGCCATGGAATCATAGAAGGGGGGGGCTGGGAGGCACCTCGGAGATCATCTAGTTCAGTGTTCCTCAACCCCAGCAATTTTAAGATGTGTGGACTTCAATTCTGGGAGTTAACATCCACATGTCTTAAAGTAGCTGAGGTTGAGAAACAGTGATCTAATTCTTACCTCCAAGGGCTGGGGCAGAAGGAGGGACCGAATTTATGTGTGCCCATCTTGAGAACCTGGCACCTTGGGGCTAGGTCTGTGAGGGTGCAACAGCAGAGCAAAACCTTCAGACCTGCTCTTCTCCCACTGTAGGAATCCCGGCTGAGGGGTGTTAGGACTTGGCCTCGTCTCCTTTTAAGCCCTCCTGGCTGAGGCCCCTCTAACGGAACCGGGCTCTCATGAAAATTCCTCACTGAGAAGCAGTGCCTACTTGGATCTGAACGTTGGGGATCCTCCCTAAGCATAAAGGGTTCTGGCTAGCTCTGCCACTGCCAAATTATTTTGTCTCCATAAAGACAAAATTCAAATGCAACGTTCCTCTTTTTTTCTTTTTCCTTTTTTAATTTAAGATTTACTTTGAGCGCGAAGGTTGGTTTTGCTCTCTGACCCAGCAGTCTCCAGGTAACCCAAGGGGCTGTTCGGGAGTCTTGCATAAGCCTTGTGCGTGTTGGATTGTCCTCTGCACAGCTGTGCAGACAGGCTCTAAGCAGCAGCTGCCAGCCTTATCCCCCTTTTCCAAAAATCAAATCTGGGTAAATCGGCGTTTATATAATCCAGGAACTGTCTGTGTTTTCTAGCTTTATTAATTGCAATGACTGATCAGCTTTCCAGGATAATCAAAATGGGGTATGGTTACAGATCTGGTGCCAGATATCAATCATGTAGGAAAACAGAGAAATATTCCTTTATATTCCTTTTCAGGCCACTTATTAAAATGTTCCTGGTGAATTTTGAATTGGAAAATATCAAAATAAGTTTTGCATAAAAACAAAAGCAGAATAATTTTTATCTGCAGAGGAATGGCTCCAAAATAACTCAGCAGAACATAAATTACTTATCATGGAGATAAATCATACTAATTGTCTATTTAAAAGTAACTGATGTAATTTTCAATATGCTTTATTAGGGCTGCAGTGTTTAAATACCTGGGTCTCATTGCTCATACTCAAGTGCATTGAGTAACAAGTGTGTAGCATTTTTCCACAGTAGCCTCCTGTGCAGATCTCTTGCATAAGAGGGAAAGGTCAGTGAGGCTTCTGCAGTGGCACTGGCGACATAACAAGTGTAGGGGCCAGGGCATCTATCGCTCTCCAGTATGGTACATGCAGCTCCCCCACCCACCCAAATTCAATTCAATTAATGTTTAAGTGACTGGAATCTCAGGCCTAAATTTGAGAGATAACACATGAAGGTTAAAAGGGTACCAAGTCCTGAAAAAGTTGCCAATCCTGTTCTCTGGTTTAGAGAAATAGAGAAGAAGGAAGTAACAGATTGGGAGTGGAAGAGGAAAAAATGGGCTATAAAAATTCAGGTGCATTTCCTTGGTACAACCTAGAAAATGTATGCAGTGCAGTCCAGAGGGATCTGTGGGCCAGCAGAGCTAAGAGGGAATAGAGGTAACATTATAGGATATAGAATCAAGAAAAGGAGTATTAACAGGTCAAAAAGGCCACATCCCTGCTTTTCATCCCGCTTAATCTGATGAAACACCTGAAGAATTCAAACGTTTGCGTAGTCTTTTGTAGCTTTGTCCAGCTGTGAATCTTGATTTTAGATGGTCATGCTCAAGTTCCTTTGCCATCCTGAGCTCCTTAGAAACGCAGGGGAAGTTGAGTTGTCCCCCACCAGTGCAGACGGTGTGCCGGTGCAGCCTTCCCACCTTTCCTTGTCTTCTTCCTCCTTCTTCCACCAGGGAAAAGCTTTGCATGGTAGATGACGACTCGCATTCTTCTGCAGGAACTGTGCCAGGCCCTGGGACTTCCCTGCTCTCTTCCTCCGGTCCAGGTCTGACTTCCCCACCCTACACAGCCACTCCAGTTGACCACGATTACGTCAAATGTAAAAAAAGCCATCAGCAGGCAACACCGGATGGTACAGTCCCTGTTCTCAATACTGTCAGCACACAGAGGTGCTGGAATCCTGGGGGGAGGGGTCAATTTGTGGCTTCGAGGAGGGCGATGGGTCTGTGGTAACACGGGCAATATTGTAACTCATTAACACCATCAGCTTGCCACCTCCCCTCTAGCCTAAATGAGCAGGCAGGTTTATTTCAAGATACTGTCCATACGTTCTGAGGTCACATGCTTGGGGCATTTCTGGGGGACCCTTCTGCCATCTGGAAGTAGGTGGGTGGCAATATCCTGAGTGTCCTGTTCTTAGTCCAATGTGGAATGGCTTCAGCTACCTGGATTCTTTGCTTCTACAGTATTGGCACTCCATGCCGCCCCATTTCTTCTAACTGGCTGGCTCAGCGCCATAGCTGATGGGCAGTTGGTCCTGTTGAAGCTGGATGGGAAGTGGCTGCCTGTTGAATGGGCCTTGATCCACAGTTGAGCCTTAGGTCCAGGTCTGTGACGGAAAGCTGCCTTCTCTTCAAGGAAGCGCAGGAGGAGTCTGTCACAAAGCTGCTCTCCAGTCTTCCAAAATGATAAGCTTAGCTCCTGTGCATCACAGGAATGGCCCTCTGCTAAGCAGCAGCATGCTTGCTTTGCATCCAGAAGCCTTCAGTTTGGATCTTTGGCATCTTTAGTATAAATGGAAAATGCTTCCCTTCTCTGTGTCTGGAAAAGGCAAACATAGCCTCACCACCAGGCCATCTCCTGTCTTCTGTATGTCACGCAAGGCTTAAGGCCAAGTACACAGACTGTGTCTTACCTATCGGTCGAGAGCAAGGCCAACAGTGAAAGCTCCCCTCCCCTGCCTTCTGTTGCAACAGTCGGGGGCCACTCATTCTTGAGATTCAGTCATGGCATTGCAACAATGCCGTTGCCGTACTAATGACAGATGCCAATTTAGGAACCTTCTTGCAAACTTTCCCCAAGAGATCTGCCAAGTGCTGGATGATTGATCACACCTAGTACTTTTGGAGCAAATGTGATAGGCCTGGAGAGCTGGAACTTTGGCCTTTGGTGGACCTGGACCCACTCACTAGTGTGAATTCCCTGTTTCACTTTTCCTCGAAAGTAGATTCAGCATTGCTTTGTTGGTAGTTTTGCCACTATCTACCTATTTTTCATTTCTCTGCCCATGGTCATCCCATAAAACTATTTATTTCTGAGAAGCCTTCTCTTCTGGAATATTGATATTTGTATCTCTTGCACTGTTTGAAAGGATGGAAAGTAAATCCTTATATCAAAGCAGCACATGCTAGAAGCAACACCAGATGGACAATCACTTTAATTCAAAAGAAGTCTAGAGTTTTCATTATACGCCAATGTTGCTATCTGGGGAACATCTCAAAGCAGTGCTGGAGTAGAAGTGAATTGTGGCAAGTCTCAGAAGTGAAACTGTGCCATAGTTTGGAGACAGCAGGGCAAGATAAATCCTGATGACCAAGCCATGGAGAGGAGAAATGAGTACTGAAGGAATAGCTCAAGTAGGCCGTACATTACTTGGAGTATTTATGGGACAAAGATAAAATGCCAGGATAAAAGGTCATGAGATATTTAGGAGACTTTGACAAATGGTGTGGAAGAAGACAAAAGAGTAGGATCGAGACAGGGTGGTGCCAAATCAGAGGTAGCATGATCATTTGAGGTCTCTGGAGCTGTTCTTAACAGCTGGGCCTTTACATGAGCGAAGAGGCCTGGGATTGCAAAGGTCTGGCCTCAAGAAAGTTAGGGTTAGATTTATATCCTGCATTTTGTGCTGGAGTTCAAGAAGACATACAGAGCACTCCCTACTCCCATTTTTCCCCACAAAAACTTTGTGATACAGGTTTGGCTGAGAGAGAGACTGACCCAAAGTCAGCAAGGGCCTCTGTAGGAATGGAGGATAGAAATGTGCTCCTGGAAATTAGAAAAACCACATGAAGGACTATCCACATGCTATCTGTAATCCAAATGGGATTTGAGTGCTGTTCAGAAGATAGCACCTCCACCCCATCAGAATGAAAGCCCTGTTCCTTGTCTTATCCAATCCGTTACTGATTGCAGACAATGATTCAGCACTTCACAGCTTCACCTGGACATCAGAAGTGTCGAGCTCCAGATGATCACCCTCAGTAGAGGATTTCATGCCCAAATTAAGTGGCCTTTCACTTCCATTCCCAACGACCATCTCAAAAAGTTGATTCAGGATTGTTTCGTGGGGTGCAGGAGGCTACTTCAACATTATTCTCCATTGCCCTGTAAGCCAGTTCACTCAGCAGGGTGCCCTAGCAGGTTTAATGGCTTACTAATAAACTTTAGTGGTCTCTCTCCAAGAAGAGAAAAGGAGTTTCTGTGACATCAGAACCCTGAAGAATTTCAATTAGGTTTCTTAACTAAACAGATCAAATGTGATACATCAGCTTTGAGTTCCAGAACATAAGGGTGACCTGCCCATTCAGACACGTGGGTAGAATCAGCTGCTGATGCCAAGAATTATTTCAGTGTCTTTGAATCCTTAATCAAGGAGGGTGCTCTTGCCCTGTTGGGAATGAGGAAGAACTGGGCGGTAGAGAACTCCTCTGTCCTTGCCTCTGCATCGCTCATGCCTGGTTTGAACAACTGAGCAGCTGTGACTCTCGGTCCTGCTTGTTCTTTAGGGCTGCGTCCACAAGAGTTGGCTTCCCTCACTCATTCTTTATTGTGACTCAGATAAACCTTAGGACTTTAAAAGAATCTCTGCCATATTAGCCCAGCCTCTTTGTTTAGGCCAGGGCACAGAAATAGACTCCTGTGGACAGAAGCAGCTTGACTTTGCCATATTTGTATTGGATTTTCAGTGGTTTAGCTAGAGAAGGCATGAAAGAATGAATTTCTTTTATCATGGTAAATGATAGAAAACAGCTAGAGAAAATGTATCTGGCTGAACGTGTTAAGTACTAAGCAAACGGATAGCTTGGGGTTTGGCTGTTTTTTATCTGCACAGTCCTTTCTGTAGAAAGAAATGGAAAGTGTCTAAATTAAAATTTGTGACCCCAGGCCAGATGCTTCAGCTTCAGGTATTTGCCTGCAAGATCTTCTCCTGGGCGTCTTGCTGTCCAGCTGCCTTTGTCCATCAGCAGAATTCTGATTCCCCATGCCTTCAATGTAAGGAAGACATTTCAGGAGAGCCAAAGTCATTCTTGTCACTCTGTCCTTTGTCCACTTAATCATGGCTGTGTTTGTTTGTTTCTGCTATTTTTGTATATTCATGCTTTTGTAACCAATATTGCCTGTGTTGCCCTAACCCCGTTAAAAACTATTCATATATTCCTCACCTGCTTTTTGCCCATCACGGCTTGCTTGAACATCAGAGCTGCAACTGATGAGTCTGTTGGCTGTGCAAATGTTGGAGAAGCCCATTACTGCAAAAGCCCCTTAGATCAACTGCGGCACCATGCATCTTACTTGATGATGATTGAATAGCCTAGCCTATCCCTCTAGCCTATTTTCTAAATCCATCTCTTTTTAGTCCTTATATGAGCAATTGTTTTTTATACGTGTAGGTTAGTTACATTTCTGGAAAAAGGACCATTTGTGGGTAGCATTCAGGATGCAGACCAGTCCTTTTGCAAAACTAACTCCATCCACCTCATCCCAGATCATCTCCCAAGGTGACCAGAAAGCCAAGATAATAAATAAAACTAAACACATAGTAAAGCATTCAATAAATTCTCATATGTGAGTTTACCTCTGTAGACAGTCGTTCCACCCTACGATGGTGCCCTTCTCACGGCATTTCCATGTTACTAAGTAGCACAATTTTGCTGCAGAATAGGTGATTTAGGGATTTCTGCCACTGTATGAGGCTTACATAAAATTGTTCAGTACAGCTGGGAAGATTTTTTTAAAAACGGATGGAATAGCTGTCCTCTTCAATCAGAATAAACAGTAAAGCCTTAAAAAAAAGTGCCATGGATTCAAGCCTACTTGCTCCCTCTGTGACCCTTAAACATTTGGGAATCTGCCCAGCAGGATAGCTGAAGAGAGAGCGTTGAAGTGGGCCCCAGGACATACCCACCCCAACTGGAGCACGTGAGAAAATAGCAACACTTTGCAGGCATCGATCCATAGGATTGGTGGATGGCTAACGCCAGGGCCCATCTCATTGGCATTCTCCATCTGTTGTCCCTTTTCAGTGAGATAAAATAAAATAAGGAAAGACTTCCAAGAACATTTCCAAGGCTGTGATGTGATCTTAAAATCATGTGAACGTAGTAATATTCAAAAGCAGAAAAAGCAGCGCCTATCATTTTGTGACTTTTCTATGGCATATTCTGTATTAACAGATGATCCATGATTTATATACAGCACATGAGTAGATCAGGTTGATCCCATGGTGCTCAGCCACAGCACTCTCAGTTTCCTGACTTTCTAGAGACCTGATGCTTTCTTGGCAACTTCTCCCAATGACTGTGGTTGTTACCCTTACACCAGTGTAAATTACCCTGCTTTCCTTCTTTGTTGCTTTAATTTCCTTGGCAAATGCTTTCGTAATGCACATTTTCCTACTGTCTGTATGCAGCTTTCTGTTTGCACACCCCTCTCAGAGGGATGGGGCCTTCCTTGCAGGTTGCCTGGTTGTGCTTAATGCCACTGCACTCTGAGCAAATCGCCTATGCTATGGCAGATTGCTTCTTAAAGCCCAGCTCCAAGCAGGTATTTTTTCCAACCAAGGTCCACCAGAACCAGCTTACCATTGAATAAATTATTGTTTCTTAGCAGCCTTTCCTAAAAATGACATCTTAGAATTCGCTGAGATCTGCCGAAATCTGCCATTTAATTCTGGGCAAGTGTGTTATTTTATCTGAGTTACGATAGGCTACCACATCCATTTCCCCTGGTTTTCAACCACTTGGGGCAGCAATGAGGTTTTGTTGTGTAAATGTGATAGTGACAAAAAGTAAGATTTCATGCCTTAATATGGGCTCTGTCCCATGCTCGACTGGATTATTCATCTCCAAGTTTCCCAGGCAGGTGGGAGGAGGGAACCGTCCAGCTCCTTTCATCAGTGCCTGAGGCATTTCCCCCACAGCCCTTTAAACTTGTTTAATTCCTTAACAAAATCGCCAATCCGAAATGGCAGGGGTGTTCCCCACACGCACACCAAAATGGGGGGCTCGCCATGGGTACTCTCAGCAACACATCTTTCTAATGCCTCGTTCACTCCTACAAAGGTTGGACAAGGCTACACCCAACCAGACGTATTTCAAGACAGCAGATACTTTCCAAAGCACCATCATCTAATTTTGTGGGAAAAGCAGGACGTTCTGAGCCCTTTCCTGCAGGGCATGAACGTTAAATAAAAACACTCTTGAGATCACCTCAGATAGCGTAGGTGGGGTACTGATACGTCATTCTGCCCCCCAAAGTAATCGGAGCTGGATTGGATGAAGGACCTAGAATTCTGATAAAGCAGAAACTTGCTTTCCCACTCCCGCCCCTTTCTAAAGATGAAAGATGACTGGTGAGGGTGTCTCCCACCTAGGATCACTACTGCACTACAGTATGTGCGCGAGGTTCCTGGAGAGCTGCCTCCTGCTGCTCTTGCAGGGGGCACGTCCTGCCCCAGGACCCTCCTCGCATCCCGTAATACGTTCTAGTCAAACAGAGCCAGTCTTTTATTCCCGTGGTATCAGAACAGACAGAACGAATTTTTGCCAGGAAAAAACTCACAAGGAATACTCCTGTTCATATCTATATACGTATTTGTAGTATAGCCACAGCTCAAAACAAACATTCCCCTAAATTAGGTTGCCAAAAAAGAGAGGGAAGTCAGCTTGCAGTCAAGTGTTACTCCAAGATTTCCTCCTACGCTGGGCAGATCGGAGTTGCTTGCTTCTTACTAACCTGCATTTAAGATCAGTTGTGGGAGATTTTTGTCAGCCAATAACTGAGAAGCCTTTGCAGATGTTTGTGTTTTCAGTATTCTTCGTAGGCGGGGAACCTAATCCCAGACATTCTTTAACCCTTTGAAAATGAGGGATTATCTCCCTGCCTGTATTCACCAGTTCCACTCCAGCAGATCAGAGCTGTTACATTCACAGACCCACAGCACATCTACATTGCTTCCTTCCAGTTCCCTTGCAGTTCATCACCTTCATCGCATCCCTAGTCATAGTCTTCCACTTGCCGTGGTCATCACCAGATGGGCCCACAGGGACTGACCCCCAGCTCCCATCGGGACTTGGGTCAGTCAAGGCTTCCACATCATGCTTCTTAGTAGGAGAGTGATAGGTTACCACTTTACTTGTACCTGCGCCACGTGCAGCGTTTCCTGATAATGCGAATGGTCAGTTTGGGCACATTTTGGCCCTGGGCCACCAGTGGACCAAAGCCCACTTACACTATTCTAGGTAAACCAGAATCTCTAATCTAGCAACTGCCCTGCAAACCACCATGCCGTTGCCCGTGCTCAACCTGTTAGGAGGTACATACAGTGCACAGTTAGGGGGCAGTGAAGCAAACATCATTCCACAAAATTCTTCATTAAAACGGTAGGAAGATTTCTTAGACATTTCATGCTAAAGCTGCATTTATGCTTGGTGGGGGTGGAAGGTGCCTGCATGGTGGGCTGTAGCATCTCCAGGACTTGCTTAGTATACAGAGGTAGCCTTTTGCTTTTGAACGTCAGCCGTGTATGAATTTCTCTGTGTATCTTCTCCGACTGGTCAGGAGGGCCTCCCATTCTGTAGCTTCTCAGCCATCCCCAGATGAGTTCTCAATTTACCCTTTCATTACAATCGCTTTCTTGTAAGTTTTGAATGTCAGCCGCATTGCTTGCTGTACTGTGCACACCTGTGTTTAGGTTACTAACCAAGGATAATGTCTCTGATAAAAAGGGGTGTCGTCCCCCAAAACGTATAATGCAATGGCTGTTTCGCTATTTAAGGAACCAAGCTTTTGGTTTTGCTGCAACAGACAGATGCAGCTGGAACTTTGGTTTCAGAAAGAACATTAAAATAGCTGCATAGTCTCGTGTGTGCATTTTGTTACAGGACAGAATTACTTCCAGGCAAAAGTTTTACATTTATATACAAAAGAAAAGAAATGTTAGTGGGCTGCCGGAGGAGAGGCTGAGTGCTGAAAAGAATGAGTGGGTGTGTTGGGTGCTGAAATGGAGGGAGGGGGATGGTTGCCTGGAAAAGCTGGCCTTCTGACTGGGGGGGGGCTGCCGCAAAAGCTCCGTCTCATTTGGGTCCCTGTTTCTCCCACGCAGACAGGAGTCAGGACAGCACAGCCGTGGTGCTCTCTGACTCCAGTTCCACCCAGGACACGTTTATGGAGCTCGCCAGCCCTCAGGACAGCGCGAAGAAGCCTGTTCCAGAGGGACGGTCCTGTGCGTCCTGCTCAGAACCCACCGCCCCTGGGAAAGAGAGCCTGGGACCCACGGAGGAGAGGGGTACGTCCTTGCCAGACAGTGAGGCTGAAGCCTCTGGACATCATGGCCGGAGAGGGAAAACTGAAGCCGAGCGGGTGGCAGAGTTGGGGGGTGCTTTCCAGGCAGCATGACGGTCCCTTCCTGGGCTTCTGCTCCCCGCCATCGACGGGAGAGGAAGCAGCCAACATCCAGGAGCTCGTGTCTGTGGCGTCTCTCTGCTTTCCCTCCTGTCTGCCTCTGGGGCTTCTATGAAAACTCCTGGCATGGGGTCGTGATTTGGTGAGCTGGCTCTAAGGGAGAGGATTGTGATGTTGTGTGTTAATTTCGCCCACTCCAGGGAAGTCAGAAGACGCCTTGCAGAACTCTGAACCCTGTCGCACTGCTGAGCAGAAGCTCCCTCCCCAGGCACCCCCCAAAGCCTGCGCTCCCTCCCTCTCCCAGGGGGACCCCAAGAGACCAGCCGAGCCCCTCTGCATGAGCCAGTTCACCCAGAGCCTCCCAGCGGACCTGGAGGGGCAGCGCACTTTCCTGACGGAGCACTGCGTCACCTCCTTCCACCTCTGCCTCAGCCGCTTCCCGCAGCACTACAAGAGCCTCTACCGGCTGGCCTACCTCTATGCCTGCAGCCCAACACATAAGGTGGGGGGCACTGCAAATGTAAGGGGGCGTCGAGGCCAGCTAAGCGTCCTTTGGACAGCTGGGAGGTGCCCTCCACGGGGCTCTTCCCGCAGAAGGAGCCTTTGACAATGCCCTTCGATTCAGCTCCAGAACAGGGCAGGGCTGTCCCAGAGAAGTCCGTGAGCTGTGGCACCCAGCAGAGAGGGGCCACACCGCACAGGGCGGTTGCGCCAGTGCTGGGAGGAGCCAGCAAAAGCTGCTCTGCAAATTGCATCCTTCTCCAGGGTTTCTGAGGCTCTGCTATCCCATCATTATTAACTTGCAAGGGTCCTGGAAGTCTTAAGGGCCAGAAACTTGGTTTAAAAGGGAAATAATTACAAGAGAACCAAGACTCCCAGGAAACTTGATTTTGCCTTTAACATACATACCAGGTGATGTTTGGCATCCCCCAGAGGTTTCATCACATTCCCTGGCTTTTTTCTCAGGGCTGCCTTCCTTTTGAGTAAATGATGCATTTTAACTTTAAAATGTACTGGGAGTCTCACACTGAGGCATCCATATATGGGAAGAGAGATTTCCCTGTTAAGAGAACCTGACCATCTAATACGTGTGAGGACTCAGAATAGTGGGGGCAGGAGGCCCTCCCAGCCGCAGGGAGGGTTAGGACCCGTGGAGAAGTTGGCAGGAGTTGCTCTTTCTGGGAAGGGTCCTCAGGAGCCAACTCCCCCATCTCCATCACCCGGCCACCTGAATCAAAATAAATATTGGGCTAAGAAGAGAGAGTTGTGGAGCCCCGCACCCATCTTTCCTCTCCAGGGCAATAAATTAGTCTGGGGATGTTCACAGACATCTTGACTGCTAAGAGAGAAAGGGCACCATCCCAGAAAGCCTTCTGGACACCCTGCCTTTGTGCCCACACCCTCTGCTCCCATCCCAGGCAGGGACCTTCTGTGCCAAATGACTGGGAGGGAAGGGGGCAGCTTCCTCCCCCAGTGGTCCAAGGCAAGGGTTGAAAACCCATAAGCCTCCTTCTTCCTCTTAGCAGCCAGGAGTAGGACTCAGAGTACTGAGGGTTTCCCTGACCAGGGGTCAGCTTTGGGACATCTGGTCACTAGGAGAAAGGCCCTGTCACCAGGAGGGGACTGGTGGCTGTGCTGCACCCAGCTCTTTATCCCCCCCCCCCCCCCCCCCCCAAGCTGGCTGACAAAGGCAAGTGAGGAAAAAGATCTGTGGCTCTGAAAACTGAATTTTGCCCCCGGGGCCTCCAGTTGGCCACCTCTGCCTTCCAGCTTTGCTCAGGAGTGGGAAACGTGTGCATTGGGTCAAGAAGTGGCACCTTGGGGAGATTTGTTGAAGAGGGAGTGGAAAGAGGGGCTGCGGGGGCGGCTGCCACCACCCAGCTTCTCCTCCCTCCCCAACCAATGTGTGCTTCTCTTGCACTCTGTCCTATATAGAACCTCCCGTGGGCACGCGATGTGCTGCTAGGCAGCAGTCTCCCCTGGCAGCAGCTGAAGCACATGCCAGCACAGGGGCTCTTCTGCGAGAGGAACAAGACCAATTTCTTCAATGTAAGTGGGCTGCCCGGGCCTCAAACGGGGCACTTTCTCTGGCTTTCCCCCAGTTTCCTGCTTCCTTTTCCTCTGGCGAGATTGTAGACAGGTGGACCAGGATCCAGCAGGATCTCTGTGCGTTGGAAGGTCGCTTTCTTCCCCCACGTGCTGCTCAGGAGCTGCTCCCGTCTGTCTCTGTTGGGCAGCAAGAGAGGGTCTTTGGGCAGCCCAGGCCAGCTGAGCAGAGGGGCATTGCGTGGGGTCCTCCTCCAGGGAAAAGGTTGCTTTAGTCAGAGCAGCGCTGGAGAGCACTCCTCCAGAAAAAGGCATTTCATACCTCCCCACTACAAGTGAACCAAAGGCTGAAAGTTGCAAGCATTACAGCACCTTCCAAGAATCTGAAGCCATGGAGGGCAAAGAAATATTTAATTTTATAAGAATGCCCTCCAGTCATGGTCTTGAGAGCAGTCAGTATGAATTTGACGTGGCACAGAAGTCCCTGAGTTCAGTTCCCTAAAAACGTCATTGCAGGAGGAGAGCCGTGTTAGTCTGTGGCACAGGAGATACCTTGTGTGGTGTTCCCAGTTAGGCAGACTAGCAGGAGGCAAGCACTGTGTCACCAGTTTCACCCTTTGGGACTCTCCAGATGTTATACTCTGTGGGGTTCAAACCCTCTCATGGACCTTTGCCCTTTAGAGGAGTATAGACAGTGCGTCAGGCTAGCAGCTCTCCAGGCCATGGTGCTCTAGAAGCACTCAGCCCGGGATAGAGTACATCTTCCATGAAGCTCTCCGCGATACAGGTGATACATTATGTTGTGCCCTCCATGTGACAAAGGGAGTCACAGCTCACGAAGACTTATGCCTTTCAGTAACACGTGTTAGTTGGAAAAGGTGCTACACGCTCCTCCTGAAAATGTCAGAAACCAGGCAGGTGAAGGAAAAACCAGGGAAGCTTTGTTGTTTACTGCTCAATCAGCCCTTGTCACAAAAGGTGAGAATGGAGCATATGGATAACGATGTTCTCCTGGGAAAATAATGTATGGAAATGTATAGTTGTGCTTCTGCAAACTGTGCGATACAGTACAAGGAAGCAGGAGCCTTTAAACCACTGGCCCCAAAGGAGTCACTCTGCACATCTCTTCAATGTGAACATGATCCTTTTATTTCTACTCTGTCGCCGCCTCTTTGGCCAATTAACAGTCTGTACACTTTTTTCTGTACACAAGTCAACCTCCACTAAGACGTGGATACAGGGCACAAGTGGGGATTGAAAGAGAAACTGTTCTTTAGGGCAGCCACTAGCTCTGGACGCAGCTTTTCACAAGAAACCCTTTGATCACGTGAGCCCAGCAACAGGAGTCCTTCCTCAAGGCCAAGCAACACCCCACCCCCAGCCAATGAATCCCGGGACCAGAAAGGGGCTCCAGAAGGCTCAATCAGTCTAGCGGGCGAAGTGTCGCCTGGCCTCGGTCTGCTTTTTGGAGACCTTTCTGGGAGACTGAAGGCGGCTGGGCAGGGACATAGGGGCAAAGTGCAGGTGAGGGGGGAAAGGAAAGCAGCGCAACCTGGGGAGGTGGGAAAGGGGAGCATGGCTCCTCCCCACAGCCCGGTCAGAAGTTTCCTCCTTGGCAGCAGCCACCCATTTCTTTTCCCTCCCCTTCTCCCTCCCACCTGGCAGAAATCCAGCCAGCCTGTGGGCTCCCAAGAAGCCCGAAGGGCAAGCCAGGAGGTGAGGGCGGTCAGCTGGACCTGTAGTCCATTCCTGGTCCTGGGAGGTGAGAGCCACTGCAGCGGGGGGCATTCAGGTAGCTGCTAGGGAGGAGAGCCCTGAAAGGCCTCCAGGCTTTTCCCTGCCCTTCCAAGCGACTGATGGGAGGCCTGTGAGGGCCAGTCCTGATGGCGGGGCTCGCGCAGCGCTCCTGCCCATGCGCCGGGTGGCTACACGGATTCAGAGCAGGGATTGGTGAGTTCCCTGCCATCCCTTCCCTGGTGGGGCAGCTCCCTCCTACTTCATCTGCCCGTGTCACAAGCATACGTTTGTGCATGCCCCCGCCCAAAGAAAGCCTCCCTCTCCAAGGCATGCGTGTGGAGACGGACCCATTCGGAATCACGTGGGAAGGCTGAGCCCACCATAGGCCACATCACCAACCACCACACTGGGCTTCTCTCCTCAAGGGTGTGTGGCTGCATTGCAGCCAATCCCCTCAAAGGCACTGCCCCTCGACTGCAGCGGCCCTCATCCTCTTCCAGGAACCCCTGGCACTGCTGCACTGAGAAAGGAAAGTCCTCCCAGCTGTCCCCAGCCGTGTGGTAGAGCTGGGAGGAAGCAGAGGGGTCCCTCTCCACACCGAGCCCGGCATCTCCCTTCGACCCGCGGGGATCCCTCTCGCCTGGGTTCCCTTTCCAAGCTGGGCCTGGATTTCCGGCGCTGCTGCTGCTCTGCCCTCCTTGCAACCTGCAGGCGAGGCATCAGGTTCCCCCACATTGCAGCACTGGTCAGCAGCCTCTCTCGGTTGCGCCCTGGAGCCTTAATGTGCGTGGGAAGGCAACCAGCCTCTTCCCTCTCCCATTCCTCAGTGGCCAGTGTGTGTCTCTCACACTCTTTCCTAATTTGCAAGCTCCCCACTGCACACCCACACGCACCCCAAAGAGCAGCAGCAACATTCCCTAGCTTAGTGGGGCTAGGTGGGGCTGCACACCAGACGGAACCTGAGTGCAATTTGGGGGTCCTCCTGGACTCACAGCTCTGGCTCAAAGATGATTGGAGGGCCTTTGTGCAGCTATGCATTCTGCGCCTGTTCCTGGACCAGGAGGCCCTGCTCACAGTTACTCACACCTCCGTCACCTCTCGATTGCAATGTCCTCTATGTGGGGCTGCTCTTGAAGAGCATTCAGAAGCTTTAGCTGTTGTATGCACTTTTCATTCAGCACATGGGACAGTTCTGTGCCACAAGCTGCATTGGCTGCCAGTACACTTCCAGGTTCTGTTCAAGGTGCTGGTGGTTGCCTTTAAGCTTTTCATGGCTTGGGCCCTATTGACTTAGAGGACTGTCTCTCTCCCGTGGTGACTGCCCGTCCCATTAGATCCAGCAGGAGAGGCATCTGCTAGGAGTGTCATCTGGCGGGACCCGGAGGAGAGCCTTTGTCATGGCACCCACCCTCTGGAACATCATTCCCCTGGAGATTAGACTCCCCCCAATCCAGCTGGCCTTTCATAAGGCCTTGAAGGCTTTGTTATTGAGCCTGGGGCCCTGGGTGTGTGGTTGAGCCCATATCACGATTGTGTTAATTGTTGTGTTGGTTGGTCTTTTATCTTGGCTGCGGCATATGTTATTTATCGGTCTGTTAATAACATTGTCATCTTGCTTTCATCATTGTTTCATCATTGTGGGTGGCCGTATAAATTAAATAAATAAATAGATCCCATCCAGCTAATTCTGCTGGGTTATCAGTATCCCACATTAAACCAAAGCAAGAATTCTCATCTGAGAAGTCTGTTGATCTCCTAGGCTATTGATAGTCTAGGCCAAAAGAAAGAGAAAAAGGCCAGGGGTCAGGTTTCTCTCGCAGCCCTCACTAAAATAGCCATGGAGAGCAACATCCAGTGATCGGGTGGGGAGAGGACCAGCCTGCAGGAGTCTCAAGCAGCCAGGCCGAGCTAGGCTGACTCCAGCCCCTGATCACACCCTCACTAGCATCAAAGGGGCTTCCATTGTCCACACAGCAAGTTTTGTGTTGTGGGGAGGGAGG